CTTCAAGCTAAAATCTTGGATAGCAAAGAGTCGGTATTATATTTAGTTTGTGAAGATAAATCAGATCTTTGACATAAGAGGATGAGACACATTGGGAGTAAAGGATTGAAAGACCTTAGTGACCCGAATTTACTTGGTAAGGATAGCGTTACTCTTTTCGGTTTTTGCAGGACGTGTGTTCTAGGAAAGTCACATAGGGTTAGCTTTGGAATAGGTGAACACAGCACTAAGAGACCATTGGACTATATTCATACAGATTTGCGAGGTCCTGAAAAATACCCCACACATGGAAGAAATATATTTTTTCTATCCATTGCTGATGATCACTCAAGGAAAGTTTTGGTATATCTCTTTAAATCCAAATCTGAAACCTTTAGTAAGTTTAGTCTTGGTTTGCCTTAGTTGAAAATCAAATGGGAAAGGGTGAAAACTCTTAGGACGGATAATGGTTTAGAGTTTTGCAACTTCGAATTTGATCATTTTTGCAAGGGAAAGGGTATAATGAGGCACAGGATTGTACGACATACCCCTCAACAAAATGGGGTAGCGGGGAAAATGAATCGGACTTTAATTGATAAAGTCAGATGTATGATGATTAATTATGGGTTATCTAAAGGTTTCTGGGGCGAAACTGTGTACACTGCTGCCTATTTGATAAATAGATCAGCTTCTAGTTTTGTTAACTTTAAGACTCCTCAAGAGTTGTGGTCTGGAAAATCCCCAGATTTGTCACATATTAGAGTGTTTGGTTGTGCGGCTTATGCACATCAGGTTGAGGGCAAATTGGACCCTAGGGCTACTAAGTGTGTCATGTTAGGTTATCTAGAGGGAGTAAAAGGATATAGACTATGGGTTTTAGGTGTAAAAGGCATTAAGATTATTAACAGTAGAGATGTGAAGTTTAATGAACTTGATATTCTTGTCTTAAAAACATAGTAAGTCAGAACAAACAGATCAAGGAAGGAAAATCTTCTACTAAAAAGAAGATGGAATTTGAGGTGAAAAGATTAGGTGATAATCTAGAGGATAGTGAAATTCAACCTCAAGAAGAATTTGATCAAGAAGCAGTGATAGAACAACCTGAACTTGAAATTCCTAAAACTGTTGTCCCTAATCAAGAAACACCTGCAGGTACTAATTTGGATGATTACCAATTAGTGAAGGATAGAGAGAGAATACGAGTGAAGCCCAATTTGAAATACATCTATTCAAATTTGAAGGAATTTGTCCTAGTTTCAGGTGAAGCCTTGGAGTCAGTTGAACCGATTTCATTTGAGGAAGCGATTAACTGTGAAAATTCTGAAAGTTAGAAAAAGGCAATGAGAGAAGAGATCCAGTCTCTAAACAAAAATCAAACTTGAAAGTTGGTTGAAAAACCAAAGAATCAAAAGTTAGTCCATTGTAAATGGATCTACAAGTTAAAAGAATGAGTAGGACTTAAAGACCTTTTAACGTACAAAACTAGGTTGGTGGCGAAGGGATTTACCCAAAGAAAAGGGATAGACTATAATGAGGTATTCTCACCGGTTTAAATATAAAACTATCAGGTTAGTTTTAGCCTTAGTTGTCCAGTATGATTGGGAGTTGGAGCAACTAGATATTAAGACGGCTTTTCTTCATGGGGAGTTAGATTAATTGATTTACATGTTTCAACCTCAAGAGTTCGAGGTGAAGGAAAAATCAGAACTTGTGTGTTTTCTTAAAAAGTCCTTATATGGTCTTAAGCAAAGTCCTAGGCAATGATATAAGAGACTTGATACTTATATGCGTAAAATTGGTTTTAAGAGGAGTGAATTTGATGCATGTCTATATTTTAATAACTCTAAAATAGGTTGTGAAGTTTATTTATTGTTATATGTGGATAACATGTTGCTTGCTAGTCATAGTAAAGCTAAAATCATAAAGATGAAAAATCGTTTAAAATCGAAATTTGACATGAAAGACTTAGGAGAGGCAAGAAAAATCATTGGCGTGGTTATTAAAATGAATAGGGCTGATAATAGGATGACTATTAATTAATAGTCTTATTTGGATAAAGTGATAACCAAATTTGGTATGAAACTTGCTAAATCTGTCAATATACCATTATCTGCACACACGAACTTATCACATCCACAATGCCCTAAAATTGAAGAAGAAATACATGAAATCAGTAATGTTCCCTATGCTAATGTCATTGGGTCTGTTTTGTATTCTATAATTACCACAAGACCGAACCTTGCATATGCAGTTAGTTTCTTGAGTAGGTTTTTGTCTAACACGGGTAAACCACATTAGATTGCACTTAAATGACTATTAAGATATCTAGTTGGATCTTTGAAAAGGGGATTAGTATTTGAAAGAAGAAGTAACAAATTAGAACTTAAAGGATATGTAGATTCGGACTTTGCGGAGGATAAAAATTAGAGGAAATCTACCACTTCTTACTTCTTCACTTTAGGTGATAATTGTATCACTTGAAAATCATAGTTGCAATCTATAGTTACACTCTCCAGCACTGAAGAAGAATAGTTGCATTAAATGAAGCTGTAAAAGAATGCATGTGACTGAAATGCCTTCTATGTGAATTAAACTTCTTGAATGATAATGCTATGATTTTTAATGATAGTCAAAGTTCATTGATGTTATGTAAAAATCATGTTTATCATGAACGTACTAAACATATTGAGGTAAAGTATCACTTCATTAGGGAGAGGTTGGCTTCTGGTAATTTTATTTTGCTTAAAATTGCAACTGATAATAACCCTGCAGATGATGAAACAAAAGTACTTGCGGTTGGTAAGTTCAACAAATGTTTATCAATATTAAATATTGATAATGGTTAATTATTGTGCATGTACTAAGCTGGAGTGAGCGATGATGATAAAAATAAGACCACACTAATGGATATCACTTGTAACCAGGGAATTTGGCGATAGATGTTATGTAATCTAAGGTGAAGATTTGAAAGGTAGATCACATCCTAAGATTGGTGCAAGTCTATTGGTACTAAGTTGGAGTGAGCGATGATGATAAAAATAAGACCATACTAATGGATATCACTTGTGACCGAGGAATTTGGTGATGGATGTTATGTGATCCAAGGTGAAGATTTGTAAGGTGGATCACATCTTAAAATTGGTAGAAGTCTATTGGTCTAGAGAATGTGACTTGAATTGTGCTAGCTATGGAGTAATATGGACTATAGATTAAATCCAATGGTTGGATTTAATCTTGTGGTCAATTACCTATACTAGTGTTGTCACTCTCTTGTCCATAGTACAATATTTGAATTTTGAATTCAAATGAATTGGCTCTATAATTACAAGACATCTTCATTCTCTCATACTTGGATTTTGGCATAACATTTGAGAGAGAGCATAGAGAGGTAATCAAGTGGGAGTTTTCCATAACTTTGGCGAAATTCTTGGTGGCTTCCGACGGATCTTTTCTCGGTATATCCATTGTCATTCTCGTGGACGACGGTACATGATTCGGTGTAGCACAAATTTGAGCTCAACATCAAGAACACTTCATTGGTGGTGTTGAAAAAGCTTTGGGTCGTTTTGGTTCGATTTTATACTTTGAGAGTTTATTATTCCGTATTGTAGCTGTAATAATCTTTTATAAACTACACTTTAAACTCTACATAAGTCTTACGGGATGTATAGATAAAATTATAATTTAATCAACAAAGGCAGTTATAAGCTTTGCCAAACATAAACTTTGATAATCTAATAACCAAATCATATTTACGTTGTTAATCATAATCCTAGGCCATTTTTTATGGGAAAAACATGAAATCACGGAAAACTCGAATTATTTGAACATAATGTGATTAACTTTATTAATTATAAAAATATACTACGTTTTTTCTTATAAATGTTCCTTCATTTGTCTTCCATCTCTCTTCCTCAGAACAAAATCTATAGTATCACATGAATTTCAAACTAATTAATTTGAGGTCGATAGAAAAAGAAAAAACTATTTATTATGAAACACATTTCTGTTTAGTGTTTTGAGATTTTTTCCCCCTCATTTCATCAGTGCCTTTTGTTTTTAGAACAAATAACGAAAAATGCATTAAAAATTTATCTGCGCGCACTAAATTCGAAGTATTATTATTATTATTATTATTATTCTTATAAACTGTACAATAATTACTTTTAAATTCCAAGCATTAAAGCCCATATTTTCTTTAGAATTTGATCAAATTCTATAAAATGTGCGTATGAAAAGTTGGTAAGAGTTGTGAATCTCATAAATATATAACAAAATTTGTGTTTAGAGAAAAATGAATTTTAGAAATGTGGCCAAATAGGGACGAAATGTACCCTTGACTTTTCATGCATTTAAATTGCCTGATTTTAGCTGTGATTTTGGAGAAATTTGTCAAATTTTATAAATTAATACTTTTTAAGTCCATCGCATGACATTAATAAATAATTTTACTTGAAAACAATAGTGTTATAGATGACTTGTCGTAGTTCAAGAGTATAAAATTCATTCTACTTGCTCCTCACCTCAGGAGCCATCTATTATATATGTCACATGTTGGCATACAAGTGTCATCAAGAGTTGTACCGTTAATCCTTTTCATGGTTGAAGCCAATCATTGTAAACATATGGTACATAAATTGGCTAGTTAAGTTCCTTAAAGAACGCAAAATAAATTTTAAAAATATATATCCACAATAATAGTTAAAATAACTTGTCCAAACTCGAGTATAGATGCAGTAGCACGAATCAATTCTTTCTTATCGATTATCATACCAAGTTGGATTAAAGACAATTTAACAAGTATAGTTGAAGAATGAAAGATTCAAACTGTGCCCTTAAGAGGGTAGCATTGTAGGGATTGTTCATTACCATATGATTTTCTTCCATGTCATGTTTGAAGAGAGGAAAATTTCCTTAGCAAATAAGACAGAGATGCCCTTTCAAATTTGAACATTCTATTCGTAGAGGATGTGGGGATTAAACAAGATTGCCAAATCTTCATTGCAAAAACTATCATCAAATAGAGCTAATAACATCTTTAACCACAAAAATGTGTAAATATCCGAAGTTGCATCAGTACAATGAGATTTTAATTTACTTCTCTTCCTCAATACAATCTAATCCACCAGTCATGCTGTTGGAATCATCATTCACCTAGAAGAAAGAGTTTCTGTGCATAATCAAAGATGAAGAGCAAAATTTTATTTAACAGGCGTTATGAATCAGTTTGGCTACAAGAATACTTTTTCGATTCACAATTTAGATGAAACAACAGAGAGAGCATGATTAACCAACTCCCTTCGCAACACCTTCCCCGCTGGAGACTTTGGAATTGAGTCGATAAATGCGACACGGCGAATCTTCTTATAAGGAGCAACCTGCAGGGATGCATCACAAGTCAAACAGAGGTTTAGGGATAACATGGTATTCTGTTCATATTGCTTTCCTTCAAAGTTCAAGGATCAAACCTCTTTTTTTCAGAACAATATGATAATCACAATCATGTTAGAGCATCAAATTATTATCATTTTTCAATACATAAAGAATCTCTATGCAGTAAACTTCAGGGGCCCGTGGGATTAGTCGAGATGCACGTAAACTAGCCTGGACACCATGGTCATATAATAATAATAATAATAATAATAAAATCTCAATCTCTCTTGACAAATTTAAAAGCTTCCAAAAGTAATGTCCCTGTTAGATTGTGACCTATATATACTCAAAACTGCAAATTCATATGCTATGTTGCAGAACTGTAAAAGACGTATTAAGCACACATGCACAAATTCGTAGATATTAAAAAAAAATAAAAAAATAAAAAAAATGGATGGTAAAGACTACTTAAAAAACTGAACCAAAATCCCCCCAAAAATGAAGAACTTCCAGCAAAGCTCACGCGCGTTTGGCAAGTTACTCAGAAGTAACTTTTAGGCTTAGCATACATGCACTGTTAATGTCAAATCCAGCAATTCAAACTTTTAAGTATGAGAACACATACGGAATCACTGCTGCATCAACAATTTCCGGAATTGATTGAAGTAAATGTTCCAACTCAGCCGGGGGAACCTGCAAAGTGTTTATTTTTACTAGTTCACAGCTTTCAATGTAGGAAAGAACAACTGGATACTGTGCTCGATACCAAATCAATATTGGAGAGATTTCCATGTAAATTCAATCACCTGATATGCTTTGTATTTTATCAGTTCCTTCAACCTATCAACAATGAAGAGAAACCCATCTGAGTCAAAGTATCCAAGGTCACCAGTCTTTAGCCAGCCTTCAGAGTCCAAGGTTGCAGCAGTTGCTGCTTCATCTCCAGCATAACCTGTCATTATCCCGCCCTTGTTATTGAAAAATGAAAAACAGGGCAGTTGCCTTAGAAAAGATCAATTCTTATCAATCTTTTAGGTTGTCGGGGAAATATATATATTGTATAATATGTATCTTTAAATTTTGAACATCATCAGGTTTATTTCCATTGCTGGGCAATTATATACGAATTTTTTATATTTTTATATTTTCCCTTGTAATATTCTCAAGCTGAGAATATTTTATATGGAGAAAGAGACATCAGACTAAACCGTTTGACAAAATACCTCGACTCCTGTGGATCTGTTATTAATTATTAGATGCTGGTCCCTGTTGCTAGGTATCCCAGGATGAGCTTTTCCCCACGTATGACACACAATAAATCAATTATATGATTTCAAATGGCTACAGTTCCAAAATTCCTGATGCAATCAGAACGCTGCTTCCAGGCTAACAATAAACTGAGTGGTTTTACTGGAGATTCTCAACAAAAGAGATGAAGGAATATTACATGCATCTTGATAGTGATGAGTTTGCTTGTCATCCAAACTTCATCAAGCTTAAAATCTAATTCATTAATTCTTTCAAATCAATCCCTTCCAGATAAAAATAGACGAAGCTGTTATAGTTGTCAAGAGAGATGATCAATCAAGAGCATGCTTGCCGAAGCTTAAAGCCTTAAACAGTTTAATTATAAGATACTTATAAGTAATTTATCTTGACCGAAAGATAAAAATAAAATATCCAAGCATGTTTGAAAACAAAAGGTGAGTTTTACTTATTTTTAAGCTAGCCAAACATGATCGTCCACAAACATATCACCTTTCATGATTGTAGGTCCTCGTAACCATATTTCTCCGCGCTGTCCAGGAGGCATGCCATCTCCACTTACAGGATCAACTACCTTTGCTTCCGTGTTTTCAGACAAGCGGCCAGCAGATCCATGCCTATTAGTCTCGTCTGGCCCTATCATCCTCGTTGCCCCTCCGCAACTCTCAGTCAAACCATAACCCTAATTCAATAAATAACTACAGCGTTATGTCCATAAATTGCATCAGAAAGTTATGAAAACATTCCTTTCAAGCACTAGAAACACCTAGTAACATATACTAAATTTAAACATTTCTAACCTACAGAAGAATTGTGTTCTCTTATTTCATGGTACAGTACTTTATTGTGCTTAATTACATTACTTATATAAATTCACAAATTTTCAGCATCAAATGAAATACGAGAAACATAGCAACTAAGTTTCGATGACCAGAATGACATGCTATCCAATATTTAAGATTGTATTCACTAAAAATAATTGGAGAATGTTAGCCGAGTGCTAACGTGGCCACCCCCACCCCAATCTTGGGCCGAACTTTCATGAGGGTAGGGGGGATCTAAGGCCCTGTTTGTTTCAATCACGCATTTTCTCAATAAAATAATTTTGGACGTGAACCCATAATTTTTCACTACTTTTTAACCAAAAAGGAAAATAAAATTCACAAAATCTATTCTCATAAAATCTCTACCAAACATGGGCTAAATATAATATTGTAAATAAGAAATCTGCACTCTATTGAAAGATCCATAAAACACCAACACAAAAGCTAGTGAAATCAAAGATATGAAACAATTAACAAAAATATTACATATCTGGTTTTCCAATGCGAGAATGGCAAAGAAATCCAAATAGATTAATACAGAAAAAGTTACAATTTTGTCAAGTTTTTAAAAAAAAATTAACTCATCATATGTTCGATAGAGAACAAGATAGCAAACAAACAAGCATAACTTTGAAAAAAAAAAAAAATCATCATATAAAAGTTACAATTGTTTACAAAACAATAAACATAATAAATTGACAAGTTCATCAAATTTCAACGATAATGAAACATTTGAATGAGATTAATACACACGCATGCAAAAAACAATAAAAGACAAGTATTTTCCATTTTCAGTCATTTTTTACACCATCTTACCTCCATAATTAATTTTTTCAAAAACTTAATCACAATTTCAGTAGTTCCAAGGCACATTTTTGATAGTTAAAGTGCAGCACAACATATTGGAGTAAAACAGCTAAATGCAAGCTAAGTTGCACCCCATTAGCTTGTGTTCCATTCATGAAACAGTCTGTAAATTTTATGGATACTATTAGCATCGTGAACGTTAAAAACATTCATTTCAATATTTATGCACAAAGATATGTTTTTAAATATAAAGAACAAAAATTTGTATTAATTGTTTCTTCTTTTATTGCTTCCAACTAACTTTAATGTGGCACATTTTTCTTTTAATAATTTAGTGTCTAAATCTTAAACATGAATTCATTAGTAAAACAGTCATATCATTAAATAAATCAACTCTTGTCTTGCAGAGAATGTCTGGTTAAGTAACAAAGCAACATCGCTTGAATAAGTTGCTTTTTCACTTAAAAGTTAGGGGGAAAAAGTTAATAAAACGAGTATGGAAACTTAAAGTTAACTTTTTACCTTACAGGATTAGCCAGACATGTTCTAAATAATTTTTTACGTTAATCAAAGTAAAAAGCTATTTAAAAGTTTCACTTACTCGTGACTTTAGCCAAGCATGAATCTTTTTATATTTTTATATTCAAGAAATTGCTTTTTCAGAATTCAGCTCATAAATAAGACAAACTCAATCACATGCATTTTCACTATTTCGATAGTCATAATAATGCAGACAAAATCGTGATCGTCAACTTTGATCTGTTACTGACCTGAATAATCTCTATATTGGGGAATCTGGCCTTGAATCGCTCGGAAACCTCCTTTCCCAGCGGCGCACCACCGCAGCCCAGTGTCTGAAGCGAGCTCAAGTCATACTTCATCACCAAATCCGACTTCGACATCGCCACCACAAGCGGTGGCGCTACTGGAATATATGTCACCTTAAACTTGTCCACAGCCTCTAACATTTTTACGAAGTCAAATTTCCCCATCAACACTAGACTCTCCCCCATAGATGCCGCCCTTATTAGCATGAAGAAACCAAACACGTGGAATAAAGGCAGCGTGAAAAGCGATACTGGATGAGGATTAATTTCTTGCTCGTCTCTAGCCGATTTATTGTAGTACAAACCGGCGATCATTGCTATTAAGTTCCGGTGGGTTAATACGACGCCTTTTACTTTTCCGGTGGTGCCAGAAGAGTAAAGGATGGCGGCCGAGTCAGATTGATGAATTTCTCGTAGTTCTATTTTGATTCCCGGGGCGGCGGAGAGCATAGAGTGGAAATGAGGGGAATCGAGGAGGATAACAGGGAGATGAGAGGGGAGTTTATGGGAAGTCGAGGAGGTGGCAAATGCGAGTACGGGTTTACTGAGTTCGATTTGGTGATTCAACTCAGCGGATGAGGAAATCGGGTTGGCCGGAGAAACGGTAGCACCAAGGGAGAGGAGCGAAAAATATACGACCGGAATGTTCAAGGAAGGCGGGGCAACGATAAAAACGACATCATTTTTGGATAGGGAGGGGTAGAGTGAATGGATGGAGAATGAGAGAGAGTGGATTTGTTCAAGGAAGGCAGTGTATGTGAGTCGATGGCCAGTGACGGCGTCGATGAGAAAAGCGGTGGACGAGAGAGTAGCGGAGGTGGTGGTGGAATGGAGGAGGGAGAGTGCGTACGAGACAACAGAGAGTGGTTGAGATGGCGGCGGCAAAGGGACCGACGAGCGGAGGCTGTGGTAAATCTTGGTTTGTGGGCAGTAGCCATTTTTGGGATCAACTGTTTTCTTGTTAAGCCTTCCCTGAGTTTCCGCCATTACAGTTTGCCTTCTAAGCTTCTCACAGGTCTATATAGATACAGATATATGGAAATTCAAGGGTTGAATTATGTGGGGGCGGAATGGAGTGGAGGGGATTGAACTGTATCGGAGATAAAAATGCAGAGGTAATAAATATGGATACACGCACGTATATTTATATACACAGACGTGAGGGGGATAGAGGTGACCGGTCTTTGTGGAGGTACTAACACCCCGTTTGGCCTCATTATTTGGGATTATAATTTTTGAAATAATGTTATTTTATAAAATGTATGACTTCTAAGCTTCTCACAGGTCTATATAGATACAGATATATGGAAATTCAAGGGCTGAATTATGTGGGGGCGGAATGGAGTGGAGGGGATTGAACTGTATCGGAGATAAAAATGCAGAGGTAATAAATATGGATACACGCACGTATATTTATATACACAGACGTGAGGGGGATAGAGGTGACCGGTATTTGTGGAGGTACTAACACCCCGTTTGGCCTCATTATTTGGGATTATAATTTTTGAAATAATGTTATTTTATAAAATGTATGACTGAAAAAAAAGATTTTTTTTATTTACGTGTAATATTATTTTATGAAAAATTGTGTAATTAAAAATAAGAGAGAAAAATTATAATGTGAAATAATGGGGGTCAAATGGAGCTTAAGCCCCCCGTTTAATTTTAATGAAAATTATTAGTGACTTATATTGTTTGATACACTGTGCTTTCATGAGATCTGCTGTTTGAGTTAGGCCAAAAAAATAGGGGCTTATGTGGCGGCTTCATATTGAAGGGGTTTGTACTTGCTTCTATTGGTCAACGTCAAATATTAAAAGTTACTAATTAATTATTTTTTATTCAATTAAACGCAAACATTAATTTTAACAATACATTCATAATCACTTTTTATTTATTAATTGCACATTTTTTAAACCTAACGTAATATTATTCCTCATAAAAACTATATTAATAAATTCCTCTCCTATTGAAGGGGTTTGTACTTGCTTCTATTGGTCAAATATTAAAAGTTACTAATTAATTATTTTTTATTCAATTAAACGCAAACATTAATTTTAACAATACATTCATAATCACTTTTTATTTATTAATTGCACATTTTTTAAACCTAACGTAATATTATTCCTCATAAAAACTATATTAATAAATTCCTATAGGTTGTGGGTAAATTAATTACTCGAAGTCTTGAACAACATTCATGGGTTGGTCTGATTTAAAGAAAAAGAACATTAAATCCCAGTTTAACCTCCATTAAATTACATTTCATTAGTATTACAATATATTTTTCTCTCTCCTATTTTTAATCATACAATTTTTTATAAAATAATATTACACGTGAATCGAAAACTTTTCATTCTTTTTCAATCACTCATTTTTAAAGAAAATACTATTCCTCCCATTTTTATTACCAAAAAATGGGGGTCAAACGGGGGTTAAGAGTAAGAGTTCGTTTGGGCCCCATTATTGGAGAAACAAATTTTACAATTGTAATTTTTTGAAGAATGTATGTTTAAGAAGTAGAAAAATATTTTAAATTTACGTGTAAATTTATATTATTAAAAAAATATGTGGCTGAAAATGAGTTTTTAAAAAGTAAAGTTATAAATTATTATGAATGAAACACGTTTGAATTTCATTAATCTAAATTGCAATTACTTTTTTTCTTTTATTTCTCATCTCATTATCCTTTCTGTCTCTTCAACTGTTAAAAGAATAAATTATATTAGATTATTACTATCTGAACCGCAATTACTTTTTATTTTTTCCCATCACTTCAACGGTTAAAAGATATAAATTATATTATATTATTATTATTATTTTAAATGCATTATTTAACTCTTCTCCTTTTTGTGAAGAGAACTGGCAGTCATTTTATTGTGTTAAATTTTGTAGGTACCTAAAGACCCCACAACATTATTATACCCATGTTTGGCCTATTAAATTACATTCCATTTTTCTCTCTCATATTCTCAACCATACAATCTTTTATAAAGTAATATTACACATAAATTGAAAAAATTTCCTTCTTTTTCAACCACTTATTTTTTAACAAAACATTATTCCTCCCATTTTCATTACCAAAAATGGGGCCAAACAGGGGCATACTACAAAATTCTTCACTTCTGATTTTGTTTACGGTCCGTTTGATACAACAAATTTTTCAAGGAAATTTTTTTTTCATCTTCTTTATTGTTTGAGTGCAAAAATTTTCTCGGCAATTCATGTGACCCATTTTCCTTCATCTGGTGGGATCTAAATCAATTTCCAGTTTTTTTTTTTTTTTACAATGAAAATAAAATTTATTCATAATTGTAATAATTTTTATCCCTTTAATTGAGATTTTTCATGAAAAATAAAGTCAAACGAACACAAAAGATAAAAAAAATTCAATATTTTTCAGGTGGAAAATTATACCTATCAAACACATTTTTTTGATAATTCTCAGTAAAACACATTATAGACAATTCAATTCTCTAGAATTCGTTTTTTCACCCAAATTCCATTCTTACAGCCAAACGGACCCTTGAATATTTCTTTGGTTCTCTTGCAAAATTTATGTCATGAATGGCTAAAACTTATGAATTAGGCAATCTAGATGATTGTGGTCGAAGTCCAGTTGATCCGAGCAATGTTCCTTGGCTAGATGACACAGCTTCAGAAGGAAGAATGGAATGCACCATCAGAAAAAGTGTTGACAATGATCTTTTAAACCACAAGGAAGCGAAAGCATAAGAAGGAATATTAGAGCCAGGATCATGAATTCAAACAACAAAAGCTTTATTTTGAAGAGCAAAAATGCACTCATAAATCCATGGATTAGGTAACTCAAATAATTATGGTCAAAATGTTATAAAAATATTTAGTGCTTGTTTGGTAGGGATTTTGATAATTAATTTTTTGACCGTTAGAGAGAAAGTGGATCCTACCCTTGAAAGAAAAATTCAAAAATGACGGTTGAAATAGTGAAATAACAGTCGAAAAATGATTTTAATCGGCTTTTAACCCATACCAAACAAGCTCTTAGTTTGTCCTTACGTAATGCTACGTAAAAGCCAAATTACTATACTTCATATAACTAGTGCAGTATCTCTACCTTTGATTTCTCAGACACCAGGAAGAAAAAAATTCATACAAAATATTTGTGTGAATTTACTTGCATCGCTGTGCTTTCTTTTTAAGAGTGAAAAATTCGTTAAATCACATAAATTCAGATAATTTAATTTAATGCTTAACTCGTGAATCAAACTAAAATCCACTTAATAATTAACCCCTTATTTGTTTTCTTTTAAAGTAAAACTTTTTAATTTTCAAACTCATTTTCAACTATACATTCACAACAAGCCCATGTTTGATTCCCTTTAAACAAAAAATTAATTTCTCATACTCATTTTTAACCACACATTTACAGGATAAAATATTTTACATGTAAATCCAAACTTTTTCTTACTTTTTAAGTATACATTCTCTAAAGAAATCACTATTCAAAACATAATTTCTATACAATAATGGCCATTAAATAGGGGCTAAAATATTTCACATGTAATCGGAAACATTTTTTTTCTATTTTTTAGCCAAGCATTAAAAAAGAAAATACTATTCAAAACGTTATTTTTTTCTAAATAATGATCATCAAACATGGGCTAAATAGCCTAAATATGAGAACCAAATCAAAATGATTCAATTATCAATTTTAACATCTAGTCGTATTTTAATTCTAACCAAATCGAGTTAGTGATTTTATTCAATTAAACAAGTTTGCGTGGTGCCAAATGAAAATGTCCACTCATGTCAAATCCTGAAACTTGATTTAGACAGCGATATCCAAAGACTAATTCCCTGTTGCACAGGGCCTTTACAGACCAACACCATGTTAAAAAAAAAGGTTGAACCCCAATTTTAAGGACTCCACCGACCCTGTCCTGGGCCATCGTGGAGGAGGTAAATCGCATGATGTGCCTCCCAAGAGTCAGGGTGGAGAGCACATGGATAGGCCAAGGCTGTTAACCTATATGGTAACTCCCGCTTGCAACAAAACTAATTCCACCTTGTGGGAAATCGAACTTTGCATACTGCCGCGCTGAGCCCTATCCGCCCTCCCCTTTGCCACTGGAAGATATGCCCTGGGGCACCAACACCATGTTATTTTGTTTTGGAAATGAAGGGATAAAGACTAGACATTGGCAAGATAAGAGTAGGAGTTTTTCTTTTGGGCACAATTTTTTTTTCTTTTTCTATATATTTAATTTTCTACCCGTACAAGTATAAGGTTGAAGCAAAAAAATTCGAATTGATAAGAAATGCAAATAAAAAATAGACTACGGAATACAGAATACCGACGAGTTAAATGTTAAGAAAAATGATGAATATGAAAAGAAAAAAAAAAGTTGAAAGTTGGAGACAATTAGAGCACTCAAGTAAAGCGAGTCACTCATCCCACCATGACTAGTTGAGCAGTAATTTGGTCATGCGAGTTGGTTCGCCTCAACAATGGCTAGTTGAGTAGCATTTTTCTTAAGCAAATCGGCTCGCAAATTGAGCGGTCTAGTTCGCTTCCATTTAATACCTCTGATAACAATATACCAACATAGTCTAAAATAATTCAAAATTCTGTGAAATTGATTAACAAGCACTTTGGAGGATTCTTGATTGATCAATCATGACAGGCCGGATAAAAGAAAAAAATCTTGGAGGAATCGAAATATATGCTTCTTGTCCCTTCTTTAGAAAAAGACCTAAAATTCTTTTGCTCTGGGCTTTATGGGTTTCTAGATTATTTAAATTTAAATAATAAGTGAAAAATATTAAAATAGTCAATTTTTTGCTTTACATTTACAAAAATATTACCTTTTTTAAGTTTTTACAAGATTGTTAATTTTGAACCTTTTTGCCCATCTAAATAATTCAAATACCCTACATGTCCTTCATTAAAATTGATTTGACTAGATGAAAAAATAATACAAAAAGCTTTAAAACATCACATCAAATGCTCTCACTTCACTATTTAATATATATATATAAGAATCCTCATTTTCTCTCATTCCCTAAAAAGTAAAAATCTTATCATTCTCTCTCTTATTCCCTAAATCTAAACGGCTCAATTTTCTCTTGCTCAAGGTCGCCAACAACGCTAAAATC